GTACACAGGGATAAGAGTAAGACAATCTCCTCCAGAACTGGAGTAAGTCAGTGATACAACACAAAATAAGTACTATTGGAGATCTGCAAACACAGTGATCAGGGTTGTCACGTGCTAATGCGCAAGTTGGGCACTGTGCAACCTTACACAGTGCACAACTTGCAAACCACAACTAGAAACCTTAGGGGTGATTACTTCCCAGGTCAAGACAGGGAAAACAATCTTGGAAATCAAATGTAGGTCTGATGGAGTATAGACATAGGCTATAGACATTGATAATAATGGTGCTGAAATGTCTGAATGTATGGCTGCAGGAGGTGGGTCTCAGCCCCAAATGGCCCTCACCACCAGAGGGTAAATGCCTCCAGAGCAAGAACAGGCCATGTTCTTTGTATACCCAACACTGTCTGCCCAATAGGTCTAGTTCACGACCCAAAATAAATGATCACTTATTTCTTTAAAAGGGTGTGTAAAAAGCAAATTTTATATGGGTTAATACTAATCACAAAATAAGTACAGGTCATTTTTTTCACTTATTAACTACTTGAAAAATACCGCCAAATGCTATTAAACATTCCGTTGGCATATAATTTAGGACCCATATCTACTTTTTAAAAGTGAATGGCTCTTAAAAAGGCAAGCATTACTCATTTTGCATAGCCTTATAAATGATTTAAAGTAATCTGGAAAAACTTCTGAAGACATTCTGTTCTAGGAAGAAAAAAAAAATCAAAAACCACAACCTGGGACACAGCTTTAAGCATGCAGTAAATTCAGTGTGTTAAAAGGCATATCTTCTCTGTCATACGTCTGGCTGTTTGCCTCTTCCTGATACGCCAGGCATTTTTGTGGAATTTTCCTTGAGCAGCTTGTCCATGAGGGCCCCCTGAGAACACAGGGAAATTTTATCAAACCTTTCCTCTCACAACTCACACTTGGCTCTTAAGAAAAAAAAAAAAAAAAAAAAAAAACAGTGGAAAAGAGTAATTGCATTTTCAATGACGGTCACTCAGCTGCAACTTCTGGAGCCAAGGCTGGTTAATTCTCATTTGCTGACATGCAGGCCTTACCCAAGTTCACTTTCCACCCACTACAAAGAACAGGGAGAGGCGTGCAAGCTCATTAAGCCCTCATTACTTTTCAGACTTTCACATGGCGCAATTTGTGAAATGATCAGACTCCAGCGAACCCAAGCAGTGAGGCCAGCACACTGGTTTACCCCTTGATTTTTATCTTTCATTTGGTCATGACTTAGTCAAATCTGATTTTGAGACTGTCTTTTCAATTAATGAAATTTGGCCAGATCATCTCAGGAAGGAAAAAAAGGCCATTCAATGCAAACATTCAATATTTACTTAGGCACAATATTCATTAAGCTTTCTGCTAGGTTTTCTGGAGTATGCTTATAAGTTATATGCCTTCAAGTTATATGCCCCTGCCTTCAAGGGGCATACAACTTAATTGGGAAGGCAACACACATAAAAAGGTACCCACAAAAACACAGAGAATGAACCAGCAATCTAAGACAGTATACACCGAGAGGCAGTAATGAGTGGATAAGAGGGTAGATTCTGAGCCAAACAGTTTGGATTCAGATTCTAGTTCCATAATGCTGTGACCTTGGGTAAGTTACCCATCCTGTTTGTGCCTATTTTCTCGCCTGTAACATAAAGGTGATAACTATACTTACTTCATCTGATTGTGTGATGAATAAATGAATTAAGAATAGCTTAGAGAGGCACCTGGGTGGCTCAGTCGGTTAAGCGTCTGACTTCGGCTCAGGTCATGATCTCGCGGTCCTTGAGTTCGAGCCCCACGTCGGGCTCTGTGCTGACAGCTCAGAGCCTGGAGCCTGTTTCAGATTCTGTGTCTCCCTCTTGCTCTGACCCTCCCCCATTCATGATCTCTCTCTGCCTCAAAAATAAATAAATGTTAAAAAAATGTTTAAAAAAAGAATAGCTTAGAAGAGTACTGGGTACATAGTAGGGGCTTACCTCAATAGAGAGTAACCTTTATTATGTGATCAGGAGCCAAATACAAGGGACAGAAAGTGTTTTCAAAGTTAAACACAAGGGAAAAGTCACTGTGGGTTAGTTGATCAGAAAAAGTTATATAGAGGAAATATTAACATCTGAAGTAAGACTTGAAGAGGGAGATGAAGACCAGAGTGAGACAGTCCAGAAGATTAGACACAGGACAACCTAGAGAGATTTATTTTGTCATTGGAAAATGGGGAGAAATGAGGTTTAAGGATGGATGGCCCATTGTGGCCCTAGGCACCAGGTCAAGGATCATGGATTTGCCCTTTGGACAATAGTAAGCCCCTGAAGAGACTGACAGCAAAAGAGTAGTGTCTTTACCAAGGTTCATTCTGTAGCGCTTGAACATGAGGTGTAGAGGGGAAGAGAGGCTTAAGGCAGGAGAATGATTGGTGAGATAATGTAGGTGCAAAAGGATGAGAAATAAAAAAGGTTAAAAGCACAGATGCTTTCATGAAAGAACTATCACCTGTCCTCAATTACAGATTAGAGATGAGGGAAGGAATCGGGTAACAGCATGAGTGACACCAAGAATGAAGTGTTAGTGACATAAATAGGTAAATCAGGGGAGCTCACCTTTTTGGGAGCAGGAAGGAGGAAACCAAAATTCTGCTCTGGGCATAAAGACTTTGAAATAACAGAACAACACCCAAAAATAAATCTAATAAGAACAGACAGAGATATAGAATGGTTACAGAGAAGAGATCTGAGCTCAAAATATAGGTTGTGGATGCTCAGATCATGGGAGCCAGAACAATAATGGAATCGTGGAACAGGATTAATGGATACTAAGAAAAAAAAATACACTTGGAAGAAACAGGACAGCTTCTTTAAGGAAAGAGTTTTGACTTTATTTCCTTACCACAGGGGCTACAGTGGAGAAGGACTCAAAGTGACAAATTGAAGCCAAAGTTTTGGTCTCCATCAGTGAAGAATTGTGTTCTGGGAAAGACCCTGAGCTGAAAGTCAGGAAAGCAGGGAGTTCTGTGAAGTAGGGAATGTGACTAACAACAGAGTGTCTCTTCCAGCTTGAAAATTCCACAAGATTCTGCACATCTCCAGGTGTGTTACTGTGAGGAACTGTAGTCATTCTTTGTGCATTATTTTTATTTCCCCTCGTATGAATGTTGAACTTTGTAAATGTGTGTGAAAAAGTATTCTAGAAGTTTATAAGGCATCTGTCTCTGGGGATAAGTCTTCATTTTAACAATTTTCAAGGAAAATGTAAATACTATAGATAATGTATACAGGTATTTATAGATATAGGTGTATTCTATTTATGAGGAATTTGCGTACCATTTTTTTTTTGAGAGATAGAGAGTGCACACACACACACACACACACACACACACACACATGAGCAGGTGGGAGGCAGGGAGAGAGAGAGAGAGAGAGAGAGAGAGAGAGAGAGAGAGAATCTTAAGCAGGCTCCCCACTGAGCATAAGATTATGACCTGAGCAGAAATCAAGAGTTGGACACTCAGCCAAGTTAGCCATCCAGGCACCCTTGTATACCATTTTTAAGGACAAAAATCAAAAGCACGCCAATTATTTTTCTATTTTTAATACCTAAAATGCCTAAGGCAACAAATAATTTCTTTAAAAAAAAAAGACTAGATCCTCTCCATAAATTCTAAAACTATTCAGATGCTGCATGTATTTAGTCAGTCAGCCAGCAAATACTTGATGCGATACACTGGTAAGGAACAATAAAAAATATGTACCCAGGGCACCTGGGTGTCTCAGTCGGTTAAGCATCTGACTTCGGCTCAGGTCATGACCTCACAGTTTGTGAGTTCAAGCCCCGCGTCGGGCTGTGTGCTGACAGCTCAGAGCCTGGAGCCTGCTTCAGATTCGATGTCTCCCTCTCCCTCTGCCCCTCCCCTGCTCACACTCTGACTCTCTGTCTTTCAATAATAAGTAAACATTTAAAAAATTTTAAAAATATGTACCCTCTCTACACAGATTAATGGTGGACTTTTTTTTTTCCTTTGGCATCTTCTCCATTCCCTGCTGCACCACACGAGTTGGCTGTGTATAATCGATTTCTGTTGATGACTTGTGACTGAGGGAGGGATGTTACAACACAGAAAACTTACAACAAAAAATCACGAATCATCATTCTTAAGAGTTCTGTGGTTGTCCCCATCTCTTGAAAATTTTCACCAACTCTGTCCCCACTCGGGCTCTAGGCCATGCATCTGGGCTTCTCTTCTCTCTGCAAAATGTCCCCTCTGTCTGCCCTTCTCGGGGACAGCGACCTGTTTTTTCCACCTGCCAGTGCAAAATTTAAAAGTCCTATTTCTTCACTATGCTGCTCCATTTAGTTCTCCAGATCCTACCCAGACGTGTCTTAACTTGCATGCTCTCCATCTGTGGTTCTCCAATTTACGCGTGTGTTAGCTTCACCTGCCAGGCTTGTTAAAACAGAGGCTTCAGGGCCCCACCCCCAGTTTCGGATTCAGTAGGTTCGAGGTGGAGCCTGAGAATTTGCATTTGTACCTAATTCCCAGGAGATGCTGAGGTTGCTGGTGATCTGCCACAGTATGAAAACCGCTGCTTTAAAGGCTTTTAAACAAGTTTTCCTAACAACAGAATCACCTACAAACTCATGGCTTCATCATTAGTCACACAAAGAGAGAAATGAACTTGTAAATTAAAGTTTCTCTCTTGGATGTGGGTAAGGCAATCTCCCTTAGTAACACTTTGTGTAAACGGAAAGGCATCCTTAAGACATTTGTTCTGCCCTCTGCTCAGAGCATTCCTGTAATGAGGACTCTGACTCGTCTTTTGATGTTTCACTGCTGACAGCTTCCAAACTCACCTCTCCCTCTTCCCCTTGTGCCAGCATTTGAGCAAGCTAATAGGAAAGCCAAGGTGTAGGGCGCCTGGGTGCCTCAGTCGGTTGAGAGTCCTACTCCGGCTCAGGTCATGCTCTCGTGGTTCATGTTCGAGCTCCACATCGGGCTCTCTGCTGTCAGCCCTTCAGCACAGAGCCTGCTTTGAATCTTCTGGCTCCCTCTCTATGCCCCTCCCCTGCTTGCACTCTCCCAAAAATAAACAAATATTAAAAAAAGAAGAAGAAAACTACCAAAGGACATGTTCCACTGAAACAAAGAAGTAAAGCCGCAAACAAGAAGACAAGGGAAGCATAACAGAGAAAAGTTCTAAAGGTATGGACAGGTAATCCAAAATAAGAGTGAACAAAATCACTAGGAAGACAGTACAGGTTGCCCCGAAACAGGTCTTGAGGGCAACTACTGGAGTTTAGAGCAAGCCGGAAGGCACAAAGAGGGATATCGTCAAGAAGATGACTAGAGAGAACTTAACGTGGCTGATTAAATTTGGACAACTGACAAGAGTTTGGGACCCAACTGGTGACAAGCATATAAAATAACAAAGCAAGCAATTATTAACTCCAAGTAAAATATAAAGCATTATATCTTATAAATAAAGAGTAAAAGTAACCATAGGATCCCACTTGCCTTCTCTGTAAAATAGCAATTTTATCGTCAAAATGCTAATGTTGAATATTGATCTAACCAAAACAATGCTGTAACTGTATTAGGAGGAGACAGAAAGTGAACGTGCATGGTAGGTCAAAAGCGAAAGTATCAAGCAGTGGTATCGGTCAATACATTACTACGTTACGGCTAAAACTGCAAAAGTTTAGTAATAATAAAGTTGTAGCAAAAACACGTACAACATAAATCTACTATATAAAGATAAGGAAATAAATATCAAAAGAAACAGCTCGATTGGTTGAAAGCGATTGCTTCTAAGGAGTTGGAAATGGGGGAGGGTGGACAGAGGTGTCGAGGGACTTCTGGTGTTTATTGCAAGCCGTGTAGAATTGTCTGACTTCTTAAGCTACATGCATTTATAGCCTTAAATAGTTTAAATATAAGCTATTCATAATTGTTTTAAATGACTGAATTTTCTTTTTTTTTTCTTTTTAAAGAGACAGAGCACAAGTGGGGGAGGGGCAGAGAGAGAGGGAGACACAGAATGTGAAGCAGGCTCCAGGCTCTGAGCTGTCAGCACAGAGCCCAACGTGGGGCTTAAACTTACAAACTGTGAGATCGTGACCTGAGTTGAAGTCAGACGCTTAACTGACTGAGCCACCCAGGCACCCCTTAAATTTTCTTTTTTAATACCTCCACTGTTCTTATAAAGAATTTAAGATAACATATCAAAAAATATATATAGCTAAAAAGCAAGTATGAATATAGAAGAAAATCAAGGGAAAGGAGAAAAAGAAATACAAATTTCCTAAAGAATTACCAAACTCGTGGTAACTTTTTGTGACTTTACTTACTCAACTGAAAGAAAGAAAAACCTAACAGCTATCAGGATTTTGTATGCGGTTTTTGTTTAATTTTGCTTTGTTTTGCAAGAAGGAGATGTCTGTAACTCTTTTTAGATGTTAAAAAGGTGTTCCCATACTTGGAAAAGCTGAGAACCACTGAGCTAGAAAATTGTTTCTGACTCAAAATTTTGAGCTGATCTACTTTTCAAAATTGAATCTGTGTCATTACTGTTCATGTATCAGCTCTGCTTCTCCCTGAGGACAACCACACAAAATAGAGGCTGTTACTTTTCCTGTAAGCTTTAAGGCTTTTTTAAAATATATGTACATTGGGGCGCCTGGGTGGCGCAGTCGGTTAAGCGTCCGACTTCAGCCAGGTCATGATCTCGCACTCCGTGAGTTCGAGCCCCGCGTCGGGCTCTGGGCTGATGGCTCAGAGCCTGGAGCCTGTTTCCAATTCTGTGTCTCCCTCTCTCTCTGCCCCTCCCCCGTTCATGCTCTGTCTCTCTCTGTCCCAAAAATAAATAAACGTTTGAAAAAAAAAAATATATATATGTACATAAGTGGAATGTCTGTGCTAATGCTACTGATCCCGGTGAATTTCTACTGATACCTATGAATCTATTCCCCTGAGAAATAACAATTTTCACATGTGTTTTCTATGTGTCTCAATTACAGATGTAAAAACCTAGGCAACTGGAAAGGGTTTATTTTTATTTTTTTAATAATATTCAAAGTATCATTTGGTACACTATTAGCTATTAAAAATAGAGTTCCATGTTTTGTAATTTCTAACACTCACATTTATTAAACTAGAAGCTTAATAAACTGCAAACGAACCAAGTCATGAATTTGGATGAGAAAGTTCTCACATTCTTTTGGTTCTAAATTATTTTATTTTCTAACACTTCTGTTCTTCACAAATACCTGTAATTAACCTGGAAGGACATTCACCAAAATATCAAGGAAGTTGTTTTGTTTGTGCAGAATGACATTTTTTTAAATAAAGAGCAGATGGGAAGGGGATGTCAAGGGGCTGCAATGCTACTGAATGGCCAAGTGTCTCTGTCAAGTGCATATTTGGATATTGGGATCTGAAGGTCTGGGGAGAGAGTAGGGACAAATTGGGCCATTTGGATGTCAGCAACATAGAGGATGCATTTAAAGCCGAGGGAATATATACAGTCATCTAGAGTGAGAGAACACAGTGAGGGAAGAAAAGCCCAAAGACTGAGGTCTAAAAAAATGAAAAATTTTGATGTCTTGTAAAGAGAAGATGCCAACACCAGAGAGGCAGGAGGAAAGAAAGAAACCATGATGCCCAGAAAGCAAAGGAAGGTTCAAGGTGCTTTATGAAGAAAGGAATGTTGGCCCTTAGATTCACCAAGAGAAAGAGTAGAAACTGTCACTGTGTTTGGTATGTGTATCAAGTTCATTAATAAATGCTATCAGGTGTTGGTAATCATCAATTTATAGTGCTACTGTTTTGCCTGACTGATTCTCTCCAACAAGGTTAGTTAGGTGCAGACAGAGTTGAGATCCTTTGGTTATTCAGTGTCTGTGTTGGCCAGATGAATGAGATAGAAGAAGGGCAGAAAAAAAAGGAATGAAGGTATTTGCAAGAGAATGATTTTAAGGGGAGATGATGGAAAGGAACAAAGTCAAAATATGGTGGGGGTGGGGACTGACTGATATTCAGTATAACCTAAGGATAAAAATCTCTTGACATTAATCTTTCCCTATTTTTAATAGTTTTTACTTAGAATAAATTTCAAAAACTAGAATTGTTAGGTCACATTGTATGAATTTATAAAGTTATTTGTGCATGTTGCCAAACTGCTTTCCAAAAAGCTTATGCCATCTTAAATTGATCAGTGAAATCTAACACTGTGTGTGTCTCAAGAAACTCCAGCCGCTTTCAGAATAATACACAAGAAGCATTGATTGATATTAAAACTATTGTCATCTCCAAAACCCAGCAGATAATTCCCACCCTTCCTTTAATCTTCTACCCACGCATTCCTTTCTTTCGTGATTTCTTTGGTTTTCATTCAGTATATATTAACCTTTTTCATAATGAGTAATTATGTTCCAAAGCAAAATCCTTTAAGTAACTGTAAATAATTCATTTAAAAGAAAATTTGAACTTTTTTTTTAAAAGTTGTAATCAGCAAAAAATAAATTAGTTTCATTCTACCAGCAAAAGTGATCCTTCTTCCCCTCCCCCAATTCTCCTCCTCCTTCTCCTGTTCCCTCTCCCATCTCTGGTCACTAAGAATTTAATAAAGAAGTAACAAAAGGTATTCTCTCTTTTTTCCTCTCCTTTGTAGTTAACTTAAGTCAGCATTTTTCTAAAAGACCTAAAAACTTTTGCAAAGTCCTTATGTCCAGAGTTTTTTCCTAAGAATGAAAAGAACCACAACCATGAAGCAAATGTGTAAGTCAGCCCAGGCACGGATTTCTGAAAAGTTTTTTATAAAGCTCATTAATATCGTGATTTCTCTGTTTATATGTTGTTCCTCTAAATGATTGGCAGTTCTAGAGTTTGAGGAAGTTGAAAGATCCTTGCTTCCTGCAGATTCTGTAATGATCTATGAAATTTGGGATGACAAGAGGACTTAGACACCATACAGATCTAAATGTCTTAAAAGCTTAGAGACTGAAGTCCAGAGCAGTTAAGCCACCTACCCCAGAACACAGAGCCAGTAAGGATAGCCACCATCTCAAGAGCCAGTTCTGCCCTTGTCATCTTTATATTAGACAGATGCATACAAAGTGGTAGACAAATAAATATGCTTCTGTGTAGAAGCGGACCCAAAACTCCAATAACCTAACTTCAGATGTCAGAGTACAAGATAAACCCCTATGTTATACCATTAGACTAAGAAAATTTCACTTTTGAAGACTGAAAATAACTAGTAGTTTCTAAATATGTGGGTCCAGACAGTGTGTATTTAAAGTCACACACCACCGCACATGCATGTGTGTGCTTGCACATGTACGTGCACGTACATCAGTACCCAATGAAGACATTTCTATATCCGCAAGCCTGCTTCTATGTGGCAAGATGGAACCATACTTCTGAATGGATTGCTTTGCCTTTAAAGATTGCTATATTTGCTTGTCCCTTATGGCATGTGAGCGACCTTGAGTGTCTCCAGAAATTTGACTAGAACTTAACGCAGAGCTACTAAAAGTACAAGTCAGAGAGCTGTCTTCTTCCTGCTGGGCACAACCCAAATCCTTCTTTTGCGTGTAGGTTCTTCAATTCCTCCTGAAAAACTTTCAAGATTTCTTTGATCACTGCTGTTGACTCCAATGGCCAAGAGATCGCCAAGGTACTGGATCCTGCTTTGGATCTTAAGGAGGGAAATAAATGAGTGGTATGTAACCTCCAAAACAATGATAAAGCACAGTGATACTACTGATCTAAAAATATTGTTCACTTGGCTGGTGAACAATATTCTAAGGCATAGGGAACATCTTTAGTAGATTACTTTTACTCCTTGCCATATTGTATTCTTTCCCTTTCTTCAGATAGTCTAAAGTTGCCAGCACCATAACCCTCACAAATGGTCCTCTTTTCTATAACTTCACCCAGGTCTTAAAGAGAGATGTGAGGGCGAAGCTATTTCTTTAGTGCATTCAAACTTAAACCCAGGTTTCACTGGGTCACTTTAAAAATGTAGAATATGGGATGCCTGGGTGGGTCGGTCGATTAAGCCTCTGACTTCAGCTCAGGTCATGATCTCATGGTTTGTGAGTTCAAGCCCCACATCAGGATCTGTGCTGACAGCTCAGAGCCTGGAGCCTCCTTCAAATTCTGTGTCTTCCTCTCTCCCTGCCCCTCCCCTGCTCACATGCTGTCTCTCTCTGTCTCAAAAATCAACACTAAAAAGAAAAAAAAAGTAGAATACAGATGTAAATAAATAAACTGCTTAGAAACAGTTAATGGGTTAATGGGTTTCATTAACCCATTCAAAGTTACAGTAATTTGGAGGGATTTTGCTCACTCTTGTAAAAGTTATAAGGGTAAAGTTACCAAAATGGAAGGCAATCTACTAAAACAGTCAACAGTTTTAAAAGCTAGGCAATGTTGACAATTAATCAAAAACTGCAAAAAAAAAAAACAAAAAAAACAAAAACAAAAAAAAACTTCCTTAGAATTAATGGAAACATTTTTAAATTTACTACAAAGAAAGTACTTTTATTTGCAAATTGATGTCCTATCAGAAACAGTATTATATCACCTGACTCTCTAAGATCTAATAAGAAGATAATCTTCTGCCTAAGTCCTGCAAGGTAAATTCCAGTATTAGATCAAGGATTGGCAAGTTCAAACCAAACTGAAATAAATAAATAAATAAATAAATAAATAAATAAATAAATAAATAAATTCTAAGTGCACACTGTGCCGGAAATAGTCTTCTATCAAGGGATTATTTTTAACTCCTCCACACACAAATATTTTAGCCATTATTTCACTGACGTTTGTGGCACTTATTCAACTAATTTGAGTAGTTAAATGACATTATCTCCTCCCCACCCCTTCCCTGACACTGAGAATAGAAAAGTCCATTAACAGCCCCATTGGCAGAGAATGGTGATACCATGGCAACACGCTATCAAACACAAAGGGAACCAGTCCTGAGAAAATGGAGAATCAG